ATGTAATCTCTAAATAAATTGTCAAAATTTATATTCTACTGTGATGCTATTTCTTTAAAAATGATTTCATAAATGGTTTGCAGTGACATTCGGTTCTTCTTTCATAAAACTAACTTGATTTCAGTTACTAAGTCACACGGCTTAAGTACACAATCATGTTATGATGAAGAGATTTGAATACTTTAGTTTGCATATTCTATCTTAAATGAAAATAAGTGTAGCTGCTGTAGATCCAGATATTATTAAACGTATTCAAGACACTCTTGGTCACATAATTAATAAACCAGCATTAGCCTCTAAACTCCTAAATCGACCATCGTTGCAATATTTGGAAGATATTCTTAAAGCAGTATGCTAGTTATCCAATATAGTCATGTTTTTAATCCATAAAAATTATTTAGATGGTAAAAAAACAAACTTTCTTCAAGAACTATACACGAATGAAGAACTTCCAGCACCCTATATTAGGGCAAGGGGGAAAGTGCAGGCACCCAGCACCTGAGCACCTGTTCGGCACCTGTACCACATTTCACTATGAGCACCTACGGCACCTACGACCACTGTTTTATTATCTTAAGTACTTTTCAGCACGTTGTAATAAAATTTAAAGGGCAGAGCCTAAACACTAAATTTTATCACAAGGTGCTGAAAAAGTACTTAAGATAATGGAACAGTGGTTGTAGGTGCCGTAGGTGCTCACAGTGAAATGTGGTATAGGTGCCGAACAGGTGCTCAAGTGCTGAGATGCTGGGTGCCTGCACTTACCCCCTTGTATTATGGTGTGGGTGTAGATGAGTGTGGGTGTTGGATCTTCTTACCCACACCCATACCCACATCCACACCCGCTTCACACCCACCCACACCCCACACCCACACACCACACCCCAACCATACCCACACCCCACCCACACCATCCGACCGGATCCGGTTGTCGGATGTCGTCGGATTATTCAGGGATCCGTCAGGATCCTGTTGGGTAGTTTCGCCCTGGGTACCAACACTGTCTGCTTCCTACTGCACGAGCTCATTTTGGACGCAACCGTGAATGGTTTCTTCTCGAAGACAACGACCCTAAGCATAGATCAAGTTGGTCAAAGGATTGGAGGCTACAACATAATGTAGTAAATCTTCCATGGCCTCCACTCAGTCCGGATATGAATCCGATTGAAAACTGTTGGACACTTCTGAAGACCACAGTTTCACAACAAAAGCCAAAAACTTTATGACGCTGGTGAAGACACTCAAAAAAGAATGGAAACTGCTGCCGAAAGAACTAACTACTAACTTCATGTTAAGTATGCCGAACTATATCAATGCACTGATTGAATTCGAGGGAGACTATACAATGTATTGATCTTTTTTGTTTCTCTGTGTTTTGTACAATCAGAACCAGCAACAATAAAAAGAATATCTATTGACAAGATGATTGATTGTTCTCTTGTGTTGGAAAATTTATTCGAATCAGAAAAAAGATTCCGTTTAACTCAGGAAAGTTTAATGGAAATCATTTTATTTTTTTATCTCTAGAAGTCTTATATTTCGAGTCATATTCATTCTACTTATGTCTCTTGTTACGGATCTGGTCTTAGATGATTTTCTGAGCCAGAAACAAAGTTCTATGTCCATAGTTTTATATATCCAAAGCTCGCTGCATGGCATCAAGATTTCAGCGATTAGCAAAAAATGTCATGAAGGAGTGTTCTTCTGGTTCTATATAGAGTTTATTATAAGTTGTAGTTATGAAGCTTTCAGAAAATACTTAAGAGCATATGAGAAGTTTGTACTGAAATTTTCAAGTAAATCTGTCAAGACCATCCTGAGTTACATACGCTCGAATGAAAACTTGAGTTAATCAATGAACAAAAATTTTCATTGAGAAAATCATGTCTTAGCCATTTTTAAATATTTTTCTACAAAACTAGTACTGAAGATAGTTTCGATGATGAGCTTTTAAATGATAAGTTTCACGAAAATAAATATATTAAAGCAGCTGAGTTATAGTCATCACAAGGTGAGGATAATGTTCGATGCATAACTCAAGTGTACAACAATCGATTGAGAGCGGGTCAGTGCTTGCGATCAGCATTAATCATGACTCACATGTATGTAGAGTTACCCGGTAACTGGTAACGGGAAACCAGTTACCAGTTACCGGGTAACTCCGAAATTTAAAAGTTAATTTTTTCACAAAATTCGATCATAGGAAGTCAGAATTCGTCGTTTTAACGAGTTACCCTGAAAAAGTAACTGGTAACTTTCCGTTACCGTTACCGTTCCAAGGTAACGGTCTGGGAACGGTAACTTCCCACCCCTATTTCAGATTCGAATTCTCCGACCTCGATTTACTTTCGTCAAATTTATAGAAAAGAACTTAAAATGGATGTTTTTTTGACCCTGACAACCCTCCCTACAGTCGAGGGAATTTGTATTGTATTTTATTTCTAGATATTTTTTATATAGTGAATTTTTCTACGTAATTCTGCCCAGGCTAGGCTAAAGAATATAAACTTTATTTATCTATGGTATATCTATTGAAATCGATTATTTGGGCTTATTTCTAAAAGGACTAATTTGAATTTACATGAAAATTTTTCTCATAATAATTTTATTTGAATTCCAGCAAATAGAAACCTATTCTGTCATGACTGCAAACAATCTACTAGTTATGACAGATCGGCTAAATGACAGATAGCTAACACAAGTTGCACGTGACACTATCATTGAAAAAAATTTGATCATCAGAGACAAGAGATGATATTCAGGTTTCTTAACCAAATTATGTCTAACAAGATTGTTGTCTTGTCAGAATTGCATAAAAGCAATATTTGTTTTTGTCATTCTACGCATTTATATTAATTTACCTTGTAATAATATTAGTTCTTGTCTGTTTTGCTATATATTCTTATTATTGCTATTAGTGTTGTTTTCTCCTATGTTATATTTCATTTCTTTTCTTTGTATTTAAATGAGCCAGATTTATTCGGACAATTGTTCATTTGTTTCTATTTATAGAATTGTTAGTGATAGACAAGAACATTTTACATTTCAGAAATCTTAAGATTAGAATCTAGTCAAACATGATTCTAAGCATTAGTTCAAAGCTTAATTGTTCGGTAGTTATATATGATGAAGTACGCTCTAGCACAATCTCTGTGGCACTGAAGACTAATGCATGAAAAAGCTTTTGTTAGTCTCATAGAACGTGACAGATGTGTTTGAATGTGAAAAATCACATGGATGCCTTATTGATGAGGTTTTTTGATTGTCACTGATGAAATTTGTTTAGTACCATAATATATTCAGTTTTATGAATATCATATCTGTATTGTTGAAATAAATTAGTCCTATTGTCATCAGTGACAGCACGAGAAAGTTAAAGCAGGGGATAGTGTATTTTCGGAAATGAGGAAACTCTAAAAAATGTAATATGCTTCGAATTGCACGACGCTAAAATACTAAAATATGAGTAGTTAAAGAGATCATATGCATTGTTCATTCATGTGTGAAATTAAAACTAAGACAAAACAACTAGTGATGCTTCACAATGAAAGAATGATGGTCCTAAGAAGTAAATCAATGCTCGTCACTATCGATGCAAGAGAACTTAAGCAAATGTTGAGAGTAGTAGACTTTGTTTCACTCTTTTTCCTTAATATATTTCATGGAGCTAGAAATGATTATGCACAAGTGAACTGAAAAAAGTCTTACTTTAAATTATCACAAACTAATGATTTATATATTGATTTCTTCATACTGTTAGCTGTCTTTTTTACCATAAATTCGTATAAGGAAGAATAAGAGTAGGATTTTTATTCGCTTTTAAACTTTGAAGAACAGAAAAGACTAATAAATTTTTCCAAATTTAAAGAAATCTTGATAAAGATTTTCTGTCAATTTGAAATCTTAGATGCTTTTGTCGAATTTGAGAGAAAATGCTTCTCAAACTTCTTCCAATTTGGGAGAACATTGGAGGTAAACTTTTTAAAGCAAGGAAAACCCTTCTTTAATCCACCAACCGCTCGCACCGTTGCTAATTATCATTCGATATTGTTTCATTTACCATTCACAAGCACAGAAAATTCTCTAAAAATCCCAAAGAAGTTATAGTGAACAATCAACAAATAAAGACAGCTAAAAAAACAATGATATGAAAACTTATATTTTCAGAATAGCAAATTTTACAGATGAATAGCTCACAAAATTATTCTCAGTTGTAAAAATGATATAGGGCAATGCGAAGGTTTACCATGAAATAAAACCGATCCGTTTGTGAATCATTCGAAACACCTTTAGCTTTATGCTTTTATAATGTTTATATTAAGTATGAATTATTTTAAAAACACCATAAATATAAATAATAAGGAAAAAAACTTCTTTTCATTAGTATCTGGTAATTACCATCGAGTCGATCTTTTTCAATTCACCAAATCCGATATCACAGTAAGACTGACGGCAGTGACGACAATACGTCTCTATTGATCAGTAATTTTCTTCATGCAGGATATATTCAGTTATGTGCTAAATGCTGACTATAAAATTAAAGAAGAACAAAGCAAACGTGCTTTTCTTATTATTATTAAATGATCGATAGTGCTTATTTGCGTTATTAACTGAACTATGATAAATCGCTATTGTATACTGACAGCATTATAATTTCATATGCGTCTGATTAATGATCAACATTCGATGCCTTGTCATGACAGTTAAATGAATTTTTATTCATACATCTACACGTCGACCGTGATTATATAAAGTATTCGGAATCAATAAAAATTCAAACGTCATTTGAATATAATTCAAAAATGTCCAACATAATGCTAAATAGGATGTTCTATTGGTTTTTATTTCTACACTTGTTCATTTTACAAGTATCAGTGACGAAACTAAACGTTCGTCTTTATCATACAGATCATGTAAGTGACCATATATCGTACCACGACTGTTTATTATATGAATATAGTTCATACTTTTCCTTCGAAATTAAACTAAATTCTGAACACATGTGGATTCCCCATGCTGGAATAATTCCTTACTGTATACGGTCAGTTGGTTTGCCATCCAACTTATTAGTCAATAACGAAAAACATGTCATTCATGGAACATCAATTACATTCGAAACATTACAAAGAGAAAACATAACAAGTCAACAATTATATTTATTATCTGCACCTATCGATGTTATTGAACGATATCAAGCATTTCTTGAAAATTCGCAGTCGTCTGTATCAACACAAATATTTAATAATTGTTCAGAACTATGGTTCGGTGAATATTGTCAATATTCGTTTAATTTAACGTTGTCATTCTATGATATTGTACGGGCTTATCTCTTTCATATGTCACTTGAAAACGATAAATTATCTAAGAATGAAACATGTTATACATTCATAGAATGTAATCGCGGTCCACCACCATCCTGTATCGACTGGCGTGAAATATGTGATGGAAAGATTGATTGTTTGGATGATGGTCGAGATGAAGTTGATTGTGAACAGTTACATATGAATGAATGCAAAGAGGATGAATTTCGTTGTAGTAATGGATTCTGTATTCCAAAAGAATTTTTCAATGATGAGCCTGATTATCCGGATTGTATCGATCGTTCGGATGAACAGTATAGTAACAATGAATATTACTTCTCGGGCGATACAGAATGCCACACAGACCCAACGTTCAGTTGTGAAGAGACAAAATGTCGAAATGAACGTATGCTGTCGTGTGGTGATGGACAATGTACTATGGACCAATGTTGGAATAGACGCGAAGTGACATTAAGTAGAGTGAAATTATCTCGACATGAAAATCTTCATTTATCGTTGGATTGTTGGAGAAGTTTGATTTGTTTGAAAGATCCGTTTTCTGATCTTGAAAATCTCTTGCATCAAGTTAAATGTCCTGATCATAATGATAATGAAAATATCTTTCGAAACAGCTGTCTGTCGTTTTTCTTCTTTCCTGCTCAACCGATACTGCTGAGTCATGTTCGTTTTGCCTATGCGAATAATCTATCAAATGAATATGAGAACGGTGTTCTTTTACCTCATTATATATGTTATGATCAAGAACTCTGTGAATGGCTTCCAGCTACTGTATTGATCGATGGCGCAACTTGCCGACACGTCTTTGAATTGGATATACGTATATCATTGGCAAATACAGAGACTTTCGAAAAGCGGATACTAAATTTTTTTCTCAAATGTTCGACCACAAATATTACTTATATTAACTGTCCAAAGTCAAAACCATATCGATGCGCAAATTCTTCGAAATGTATTGCTTTAAATCGACTTGTTGATGGTTTTTTCGATTGTTTTCAAGGAGACGATGAACAAATCATAAATAGTTGCCAGTTACCCGATATTGACTATCGCTTTCGATGTCTCTCGGAGCATAAGTGCGTTCCTAGGATTCGAGTTCATACCGAGATACCAATTTGTGTCGGCCAAGAAGATAGGAAATTTACACGTGGTTCATATCAATTGAATTTTCATATATCATTCACAACCCTTTGTAATGGTTTTGTCGAGCATAATAGAATCGATGGATCTAATTACACAGATGAAATGAATTGTCAAGATTGGCCTTGTAACAATGCATACACGCGTTGTGATGGAAAATGGAATTGTCGTAATGCAGTTGATGAAGCTAACTGTTCTGATAATCCATGTCGTCCAGATGGTCATCCTTGTATATTACCAGTTAGTCACAACTTTACTTGCTTACCTCTCTCAAGAATCAATGATGGTCATATTGACTGTGTAGGTGGTTATGATGAGCAAGATCGTTGTGGACCCATTTCAGAATCAACTGTGGCTAGGCCCTATCGCTGTTTCAATGAAACGCAGTGCATTCATTTTAGTAGTATGTGTCAGTTAGATGCACAAACCTGCTCATCGGGGAATGATCGAAATGTATGGTGTGAAAAGGTATTACATTCATCAAATAAGATTCATGATAACGCTCTCGTTCAACGATCACTCAATTCTAATGAGACATTGTATACAAATCATCTAATTACAGGGCTAGAGAACAATCTAATCGTCTTTTTCAAAATAAACAATCATCTTCCCTATCCATCTATGAATACAATTATCAGCGAACACGACTCTGACGCAACGACAACAGCATACATTTTTCATTTTAATCAGTCCAATATTGAAATTAATACTGAAACAAATAATTATAAACTAAGTGCAAATTGTAATCGGGGAATTCCTATTTATGTAAATAATCTCACAAAAATCTATTGTTTATGTCCACCAGCTTATTTTGGATATCGATGTCAAAATCAAAGTCAACGAGTTAGTCTCACATTACAGTTTCAAGCAGTTGAATGGCGAACCGTATTTACTTTTGTTATCATGCTCTTTGACGAAAATACAAACATTCATTCTGCAGAACAAATAGACTATTTGTCTGTACGGGATTGTCGGAAAAAATTCAATTTATATCTTCTGTATTTAAAGCAACCAAAAGATGCCAATCAAACCTATTATATACGTATCGATATCTATAATAAAGAAGAAAAGGAATATTGTGTTTCCATATTCTATCCTATTCAATATTCATTCTTACCAGTACATCGTCTTTCACTACAAGTGAGTGTTCCAATACGTGAAGTTGCAATCAAATCGAAAAAATGTCCTTTGAAATGTTTGCATGGACGATGTAGACATTTTTGGAATTCTGATAAATATTTCTGTCAATGTTCTGATGGTTATTCTGGAATATTATGTACGATGAAGAATTCATGTGATTGTTCATCAGACTCGATCTGTGTTGAAGTTGTCAACAATCGATCGATATGTGTTTGTCCTCTTGATAAATTTGGACCACGTTGTTATTTGAAAAGGACTTTATGTAATTCAAATTCATGTTCTGATAATGGCCGATGTATTGTTGGTGAAGAAAAAATTTCCGAAACAGAACACTATTGTCTTTGTTCTCAAGGGTACATGGGTTCAAGATGTGAAAAGTCAGAAAGAAAAATTGAATTTCTTTTTGTTAAAACTATACTCCTTCCACAAACAATATTCATTCACTTTATCGATATTCCAGCAGAATATAGCGTACCTTCTGGACAAGCTGCTCCTGATCCAACACAGATAACCATGATATCAAAATTAAAGTTTCATGAAAATTCTACTTTTGTTTATTATGGAGGAAGATTTCATTTAATATTCGTAGAATTTTATCAAAATTATTATCTTGCTCTACTTCAACATAATTCTACATTACCAATGAATATTTCTACAACAATTATTCCTGAACATCGTTGTTTATCAATCAATGAACTATTACCTGATCATATTCAAAAATTATCACAATGGAATCGTGCTAAACATTATCATATTCCATGTCAAAACCATACAAATCTTGCATGTTTTTATGATAATGATTATTTCATGTGTTTATGTGACATCGATCGATATGCAAATTGTTTTAAATTCAACTATCATCCCGCTCACAATTGTTTAGGATATAATTATTGTGAAAATGATGGTCAATGTTATGTCGACAATAGAACTTGTCCAACAACATCGGCATGTTTATGCAAAGAATGTTATTATGGTGGTCGATGTCAATTTACAACAACAGGGTTTGGTCTATCACTCGATGATATTCTTAGTTATAATATATGGCCCAATGTTCCTTTCACACGACAACCGACAGTAGTAAAAATCAGTACAGGTTTGACCACAATTATGTTTGGCATTGCAATTATCAATGCTATTGCGTCTATTATCACTTTTCAAACGAAACAATCACTTCAAATTGGTGCTGGTCTTTATCTACTTGCATCATCAATCACATCTTGTATAACAATGACAATGTTTACTCTCAAATTTTTATTACTTCTCCTTTCTCAAATGTCCATAATTACTAACGATTCTTTTCTTTTATTGAACTGTATCTGTACAGACTTATTTTTGAAATCATTTTCGGTGGTCGGAGAATGGTTAAGTGCTTGTGTTAATATTGAACGAGTATTGGCCGTTCGACTTGGTGTCAAATTCAATAAAGTAAGAAGTAGAAAAGTTGCTAAAAGAGTGATCTTCGGAATATATCTATTCACCCTGATCAGTTTTATTCATGATCCTTTCCATCGCCATTTACTTCCAGACGTAGAAGAACAACGAGTATGGTGTGTAGTTCGTTACTCATCATCTGCACGAAAATACGCATCATTTGTCAATATCTTTCATTTTCTTTTACCTTTTTGTGTTAATTTTATTGCTACTGTATTAATCATCATCTTAATAGCTCAAGCGAAATCGAAAATTCGTCTAGACGAGACCTATAGACAACATTTATGGTCACAATTTCATCAACATAAACATCGATTATTAAGTTCTTTTATGTTAGTCGTCATTTCCATACCACGACTTATCATTTCATTGGCTTCGCCATGTATGAAATCAGTCTCAAATTCTTGGTTGTTTCTCACTGGCTATTTTATTTCATTCATTCCACCATTACTTATATTCATACTCATTGTTCTACCATCTAAATTCTATCGAAAAGAGTTCAATGAAGCTATTATCAGCATTAAAACAACCATTCGACATCTGGTTCGCCACGACTAAACATCGCAATGAACACATCAATTATCTCTTTTATTATCTGATTCGAAAATGAACTTCTAAACACAGTGCTTTTATTGTGTTAGCTTTTGTTTGTGTTCAGTTATAACTAAATAATCAAGAAAATAAATAACTCTTTTCACGATTACATCTAGTTTTAAAGTGGTTACAAGTGGGTGTATGGGTGTGGGGTGCGGGTGTGGGGTGTGGGTGGGTGTGGGGGTGGGTCTGGGTCTGGGTGGGTGTGCCTGTGTGGGTGTGGGTGCGGGTGTACTAGTGACAGAAGAAATGATACACACCCACACCCTCACCTACAGGCATTACTCGTGAAAAACGATAGTGGTTCATCGAAAAGTCGCATTTTTCTCTATCAAAAATAGAATGATTGGAGGTACTAAGTATATAACCTTGTAGTCCGTGAAAAACTCTACAAAACTGTATATAGAAAAATTATTTTTACAAATGCTTTCGACTGATACCAAGGCCCAAAATAGTCAGTGCTTTGAATGCATGACCACCTATCGATAAATCCAGTCTGGTTTCCTCAGAATTTTTTGAAAACAAGATTTATTATATACCATTCGGCGGGTCTAGACTTGCTCTACAACATGGTATGTTTGGTTTATTAATTCTGATTAGATCACCAAATCCGATACGATCCTTTTTGAAAATTCTCAGAACTTTTTAACCGCTCATAGTATCTATAATCAGCAGTATTCACAACTGTTTGATACATCAAAATTAGAAAATAAAGTGGTACCTAACTTTTGTTGCTTTCTTTATTTCAATTATCATCAAAAAATTAAATCCTCAGAAACTTGCCTTTTTAAGACGCTATTTGCTGGCGAACAGAACGTTTTTGAGAGGATCGAAAATCAACGCTACCGCTTTGATATCGATACTATCGCCTCACGTTTGAGTTAATAGTTTTGGCTCTTGACTTCATCACAGCAGAAAACAATAACTTTTCATGCGTACGTTCGGGATGTAAGAGAGAAAAAAAAGAAAACTCGTGAAGCACTACATAAATGCTGTGCTGCCTACAGTATGAGAAAAAGCACTACTATTTTCTTTTCTTTCCTATTAATGTTTATTGACGTTGACTCTGTTAGGATATATGGATGATTTTATATTTCTTTTTTTCTTTTGTTACTATATGTTCTTACCCGTCTGACCTATTCTTCTTCACTGACGTCTTTTGTTGTAACACTACTTGTTGTTCATTTTCAATCAGACGAAGAAACTCTCAACTTCTTCCCTGACTAGTCCAATTTTCTCTTCCTACATATACTTGTGTTTTTTCAATAAAGGGAAATATTATTCACTCATCCAAAGCGTCATATACTTAACTATATACACTCTTCTCACGAGAGGGGGAGAGAGGCAAGCGGACATCCTAACTGACTCATTTTACTCTTATCTTTGTCTACTGGTTTACATTATACATTCAACTTTTTTCAAACTTATCGTTGACAATTGCAACCATAAATACATTTCTGATTGTCGTCATACGTAACACATGGCAACGGGAATCGGTAAAGAAAAATGTTTTATATGTGCCAAAGATAAAATCGTATATCTATGCGAAGGATGTTCAGAGAAATTTTGTTTGACAGATTTAACAGAACATCGTCAAGCACTTCACAAAGAATACGACAAAATTATCACCGATTGTGATGAATTTCGACAAAAACTTATTGAACAAAAAGCTAATCCAAATCAGCGTCTATTGATACAACAAATTGTTGAATGGGAAAAAAATTCAATTAAAAAAATTAAACAAACATCAGAAGAATGTAGACAAATATTACTTAAACACACTGATGACAACATTATTGAAACAGAAAAGAAATTAGATAAATTTGTTTTAAAATCGCGACAAATTCGTCAAGATGATGAATTTAATGAAATTCATTTAAATCAACTGAAAACGCTATTAGAAGAACTGGAAAAAGAACTTGATCAACCATCAAATTTCTCGATTCAAGAAGGTTCTACACCATTTATAAACAAAATTTCAGTCTCAAGTAAGTGTAATAATTATATCTGAATCGATGGACAAGTCTACTTATAGCAGAACATGAACATATTTTTAAGAGCCTTAAGTGAAGTTAAATGCAGAAAATTATTAGGTTTTTATTTATGAATATTCAAAAAATGAGTATATATCTAGTTATATTTCCTAAAAGAAAAAGATCTTGAATTAAGATCGTAATATTTTTATCAGAATTGCTCTCTATAAACTCTTTTTGAGAAAAAGATTTCATTAGACTTATAGAATCAATTCATATATAGTCTATATTAGATATAAAACATAGTTTTATTTTTATAGACTAGTTTGAAACAAAAATAACACAAAGCAATTATCATTTTGAGATATTCTTGATTATTATGCCACTTTCTAATTATTATTATTTTTAAATACACTTATTTAAGTAATATAAATCAACCAATCAATCAAGAACGTTCGAATTCTATGAATTCGAATGTCTTGAAGATGTCGAGGCATAAATATTCATCAAAATATAACTAGAAATAAATCAGAAGTGTAGAAAATCTAAAGATATAAAGAACTCATTATAGACACTACTACTATTATGCAACGAGAAAAAAAGGGAAGTAGCCGGATTACAAATGTATTCTGACACTGGTCATTATGTCAACATAGAAATACCAATGACGTTGACTAGTTGATTTCAAGTTGACCATGTTTTGTAAATATTCCGTACATGAAAATATTATGTCTAGACTCAAACCAATTACGTATACAATTATCTAATCATGTCCATATTTGATGAGGACGGATTTAGGTTTGAGTGACTTGTTGGCTCAGTTCAATCAGTGTTTTGTGCCTGTCTTTTGATGACTGAGACTGTCATATTTTAACTCATTTCTTCAAACTTTTCGCTCTGACAAAGTGTCCTAGTCAAGTCATTTCTTTATGAAAAATAATAATGAGAACAGAATTCGATCAAGTCTCTACAAATCATAAGTGATTCAACTGATGGTCATCAAAATGCAGTAGCAAGTCTCAAGAAGACTTTTATGAGTATCCATCTGTATGGTTCTCTAATATAAACCAGAATTGACTCTTTCAAACTAGCAAAACGATCTTCTTTCCTTAGTGAGCAATCAAATGGAGAGAAAAACGTTGTTCTTCCAGTTAGAGGTGAATGTGATGTGGAAATGAGAATTTGTATGAATCTTTACTGTAGTCACATCCACGCCCACACGCACCACTATAACGTTTTATATCTAAGCAAATTCGAAGAAAATTTCTAAATAACAGTCTCGAGCTAAGTCGAAAATGGTATGAACGTTCCAAACGTCTTCGATGAGTCGAATCGATTCCATCTTTGTTGTATAATAATACTTGTAAGGTTTTGCTTCTAGCAAACGTTAATAAAACCCATAATATTAATCAAAATGCTATTGATTTAAGTGGCACATGGAAATGTGATGATGGTGGGTTGTATTATATTCGACAATTGGATAATGTAATGTGGTGGTTTGGTACACAAAAGCTTGCAATCAGATGTCAACCAAAGTTTTCCAATATTCTTCATGGAATAATCGATTCATCAGTGATAAATGCGCAATGGTGTGATGTTCCATTAGGTCGAGATCGTCATAGTGGTTCAATTATATTAGAAATCATTGGTGTAAATAAATTTAAAAAAACGTCATGTGAAGGACCTTTTGGTGGTTCAATATGGCAAAGGCAATAATTATTTCATGGTTTATTTTCAAACTGTTTCGATTTCATAGCTAGAAAATCAATATTTAGAAACCTTTGATCGACAATATGATGGAATCCACCATCACAGACGATACTGTATTGTGGGCGTTCTCTTCTATCCTTTCACTCCTTCTATTCTTTCCTCTCATCGTGTTGATTGTTTTATCTTTATGTAAAAATTGATTAGTTCTATTTTTTTTGTTGCCTATCTCTCACACATACATATTTTTTGTTCTCTTACGAGAGGTTGAGATAATTGGTTTTTCACGTTTGCATCTGCAAACAAAAAAGAGAGCATCATCTAAATCATTTTCGTTGCACTTACAGGTTAAACTACAACGCGCTTCTCTACTGACTTTCACTGTTTTCAGAATCTTAAGAATCCTAAATAGGATTTTTTTAATTAAGGTCTTGTTCATCTGACTAACAGCGATTCACGTTTGCCCTTTCTGGAGCTATAGTCGATGTTCATAAATGCTAAACAATTTCTGAGAGTATTCGAACCATGTGTTACTAATATCAAGGTCAAATGAAGCATTTCATCATTAATTTCGTTCAAATTTGAAGTTGTTTTTATAGTCGTTCCATCTGTCTATGCAAATGGCCGTTTCTTGTTTCATGTGCTAGTCAGAAATTGAAACAAAATCGAATCGAATTTGAAGAAAGATTTTCTCATTTATTTCTGCCTCCGATACCAATTTAGACTTGGTATCGCTGCGGGTGTTAGTGTGTCCGTGAGAGCACACAAAAGGTGTCTACTTGTACTCACACCTCACATTAAAAATGACTCGTATTTCTAGATTTTAATTATCAAGAATTGATTTTCATTGAAAATAAGCATAGTTTTCGGAATTAGCATGCAAAAATATATCAGAACCTCTACATTTCATCGTGAAATACCTGTAATCAAAACGTTTGCATCATTCCTAGTCATCTTTTTATTCGTTCAAGTTTTGTGTGCTGATTCCAAAAATGATGCTTGCACTCAATAAAAATCAATTTTCAATAATGGATTTCGAGTGTGATTTTGGTTGCGAAGGAAACTCACATATGTACATGTACACCCCACACTTGTTATCTTTTTTTAAATTTTATATTCAACTTTCTACGACCCAGGAATGTGAGCCACTGTAAATTTTCCTTATCTAGAGAAGTATATATAGTTTTGTTGAGAAACTTGTTAACTATAACATTAAGCTTTCTTTTTATCATCTTAATGAATTCAAGTATCGTCGATAGATATGTCTTCTTTTGTCATACATCGTGGGCGTGAAGTTATCAGATGTGATTCTGAATCGATTTTCTAGAAAATGTACCAATAGATCCGATCTATCTCAGCTAAACAAATGGTTTTAAATCACGTGAGAAAATCTAGTTAAAAATCTAAAATAAGAGTGATTCTGTACTAGATTATATAGGAGCAGAGCACGAAGTCATCTCTTTTAAAGCGTACCTTAGAAAAATATCCTTTTCAAGACATCAAAGCATTGATTGTCTACAATATAGTAGGTATAAAATGGACGTAATTATTTGAGATAATTTTTTAGAGATTGGAATGAGAAATCTTTGAGGTTATACTTAGTTCTCTGTAATAAGAACTGCCCAACCACGATATTTATATCACATAACAATAAGTTGAGAAAAAACAACAACGATAATTTTGAATAGTTCACTAGTTTAGTACTTTATTGATCGACCTCAGAGAATTCTTCTATCCGTGCCAATATTGTCAAGGTAGATCTATCTGGTCGAAGATTGAATTATAATCAAGAAAAAAAAATTATTTGTTGCTATTGATTATTCTGTTTATTACGAGTTTGATCGGTTACCGATTTTGTGAGATTCCAGTTGAATTGAATCCATCTATCTGCGAAGATATGTACGGTTGAAAATTGATATTCTACGGCTATGACAGAGATATGCTCAACGTAATTCTGGCTCGAATATTAACAGCAATAATGGTTGTATATGGAGACTGTACGAGTTTAAAATATTGACAGCTGTTTTCTCTGTTTTACTAGACTCTTGATGAATTTCATTGTCAGTGACATGATTTGTGCTAAACAATCTTGTAACACCCACTAACAAGTACTGACGTCAATCATAGACTCGTTTCAAGTACTTTTTAATTAAATTATGACACTATTTTTTCAAGATAGTACGGATTATAACGACGTCAAAAATCATGCTTTTCAGATACTCACCGAGAAAAACATCTGTTGCAATATTAAATACGAAGATATCAATGACTTATATAGTCGAGAATCAGCGTTCGTGTCAAACGAGTATCAGTTCACTACTATGTATCTTCTTTTCTTTTTGCTTCTTGTCTTTCGTGCTTCGTCTACAAATGTTCAAATAGTTGGTCTCTTTCCTAAAAACTACTACAATAACACGCGTAGATATGATTCACAACAACAGTCTATGGAGTGGTACAAAGATTGTGCGGCAATATTTCAAGCCACCATTTCTGTTGCCAATCAGCGTGGTTTCCTTGTAGGCAACTTATCAATCTCGGCCATCGTTTTAGAATTCAGCGAACAAGATCTTGGAATCGAACAGCTCAATCGCTTGTGTCAATGGATCACTAATGGAACTTTGTCTAGCATCGTTGGCATTATCGGTCCGAGTACTTCGACTGTGGTTCCAGTGCTTGCGCCATTTGCTGCTCATATGAATTTGCCGATGATCTCTTATGCAGCTAGACGAGCTGATTTATCCGATACAAAGATATATTCTAGTTTCTATCGAACTGTGCCATCGGATGAATTACTTGCCAAAGCTATCATTCAACTTTTCGACTACTTCTCATGGAAAACGTGCACAATGATTTTTGAGAAAGACAATAATGGATATTGGGGTTTTGATTTTTTGACAGAGAACTATAGTAATAATTTGACCATCCGAGAACGAGTGACATTCGATTTGTCCTCAAATCAGTTTCATACCAATTTGAAACGAGCATTATATGCTAGTCGAACTCGTATTGTTCTTGTGTGGGCCCTAAAAAATGCATCAACTCGCATTCTTCAGCATGCTTTGAACGAAGGATTAATCGGAGGATCATACATTTGGGTGTTCACCGAGAAGGTAACAAATAATCACATTGACTTTCGAGGAAAACTTCTGAAATGACTTATCACTTGTAAGCTGTGACTATATTCAATCAATAAGACATAGAAAAGAGGTAAAATTCACTTGTCTGGTAGAATCATGCTTCTGAATTCGAAATCTAAAACTTTGTCTACATAAAGGCATTAATTAGTAGACTAACTTGTAAAAAGAATTTCAGCACTTTTTTTGATAAAGTTTTCTCGAAATATGAATTTTTCAAAGCAAAGGTGCTCTTCTGTCACTATTGTGAAAAAACAAGATTATTTTGAAAAATTCATATATCGAAGAGATTTTTTTAAAAAGAAATTTGAAACCGTTTTTGCAATCTAGTCTAATTGACGTCTTTATGATTTAGATAAAATTTTAAATCATAGTTCGCAAGCATGATTCTGTTTGAAAACTGGAGCCGCCGCGAAAAGTGCACTAAAAATTCGGTATCACAGCAAGAAAGACTAGCAGCTTGAATCACTCTTGAGTATTTACTCGCTCCATTTGCCCTATCGATTGAATATAATCACAGTTTAAATCTGAGTGATCATCTCTAGAGGTTCTCTTGTTAGAATGTAAATAATTCTGTGTTCGCATATATCTTGCAGATCGACCTGAATGAAGTTCAAAATTCAAATAATTGGCATTTACTCGAAGGCCTACTCAGTGTTGTACCAATGATTGTACCTCGTAAAACTATTAACCTAGAGCTCTTATCTGAAATAGAAGTAGTCTGGAAAAATTTGTCGATGGACAGTCAAACCTTCCTGAAAGAGTATTCTCAGAGAAATCCGTATACAATGTTTACTGTCGATGCAACATGGGCATTGATTGAAGCACTGAATAAGTCTTCAGTTACCACACCGCAGTTTCTGCCGTCCTCATATTGTTTCAACAGCTACCTGCATAACGCAAGCGATTATCACCAATCATTAAAAGAAACCAACTTTTCAGGTGTATCGGGTCGTGTTCAATTTTCGAGTAATACATCAAATAACAGAGCAGGCGATGCTTATTATGCACTCAAGAACATTCAGTGGACACAGTTCAACAAAAACAATACGTCGCATAACGTAGTGACTTATAAGACTGTGATGATTTGGAATGAGGCATATTCGAAGTGGTTAAATAAGACAACACTATTACCTTTATTCAAGATTGTGTGGCCGAATAAATCTCAAGTGGTACCTAAAGAACATGCAAGTATTCGAGGTAAGCCAGTATTATATGTGTGTTTGTATCAACATAAATGATATTTATTCTCACAATTCTCTCCATTAGGTGGTCTAATGCGTATTTTAACCATCGAGTCACCTCCATTTGTAATCGTACGCAATGAATCGTCTTCGCAACATAATACCAATAATCACTATGCGAAAGATCGATTCGTTGATGAGTACACTCATTTATCGACGATTGTTCCGAATATTACCATTAGTGGCTTTGCAGCTGATCTCATTTGTAAATTAAAAGAGCATATGGATTTCAGTTTTACCATCGATGTTGCTCCACCTGGTATGAGCTATCATACACTAATAACTGATTTTGCTACGAATGCAACACGATGGGACGTAATCATTGGTGATGTAACAATCACATCGAACCGTCTACACCTAGTAGATTTTTCATTACCTGTCCATGAGAATGAGCTACGAATTGTCATTCGTAATAACCCATCTTCAATTTGTCTTAAACTTTTTTCTTTTCTTAGTCCATTTTCCTTGGGGGTTTGGTTGACTATTGCATCTTTGGTCGTCTACTCTGGTGTTCTTTTTTTCATATTTGAGTATCACAAAATATCCGAAACAGATCATCATTTGGGATCACGCAAGATCATCTTTGGCATCTGTCGTGCTTTGTATAGCATTATTAACATGAATGCCCAAC